ATTATCACTTTGGGCATCCCTTCTAAAATACTAATCCAGATATATTCTAATTCATAATCTCATAAATCATTGATTTTATCACAAATCTCTCTTATTTCTTCAGATAGCATTTAAATCTCATTCAAATAATTATCATGTCTAAAAAAGAGAACACACCTATTATTACACAAAACATTGTCTTACTAACTTAACACACTCAATTAGTTGTTAAAGCAATCCGAATTTCTAAAAACCTCTTTCATATTCTTATTCTCATTCCATCACAAAATAATTTTCATACAAATAAACATATTATTCCAAAAAATACATTCTTACTCTGTTTAACATATATATTCTAATCACAAATTTTCAACTCTAAATCTTAGTCCTTAAATCAATCCATATTTCTCAAAACCTTTTTAATCCATTACATGTAATTTTAATTTTCTCTTTTTAGTCTTATTCTGGCTTTCTTTTTATGCCACGCAGGTTTCCATAACAAAGCCTCTATTTCAGCAAATAGATCTCCTGTTATTGTTTGTAATGTCATTTGGGTCAGTAAAAGAACTCCCATCCTGTTTTTGACGCCTGACTCCTGTCTGCTGGATAAAACACTCGATTATGCCCAATTTTATAATTAGTAGATGATTATCAAAGTTGTCATAATTCTCCAACAGTTGTAATTTCAAGTCTGTTTCTGTTAGTTTTGCAATTGTAGATAGTTTAGTTACAATCATTTTCTGGTCATCCAAAGTCTCCATAGGTTGTATGTAAATTAATTCCTCTTCTATTGCTTTTTGGTCTGTAGAATGATCAAATAGAGTCTGAAGGTCAGTTTGTAAGTTCACAGTAGAATTTCTGTTTATTATTTCTGCAGTTCTCTCTCTTATTTGGGAACATATTTCCTCAGTAGCTTCATAAATTTTTTTCAGTATGAATTTACAGTTGAGTTGTAAATATGGTTTCTCCATTTCAGTAGTAACTAAATCCAATCCTGTTATCTTTTAGTGAAGGCTATATTCCAAAACATTTAGTCAGTATCCACCCCCACCAATAACAGCTGTTGGACCAAAGAAACAAAAAATAGTTGCAGTTTTAAATTTCTCCACAAGATGTCCTCAGTAAACTATGAAAGTCTCTTCCAGACACCAAGAATGAGATTAGCAAAGTCAAAAAGCTATGAAATCTCTTTTCTGCCTTCTCATAGAGTTGTTGTTGTTGTTGTTTTCAAACAATAAAGATTTATCCCTTTAAAAAATAAGTCCAAGACATAGGAAAACAATATTCTCCAGCTTAGAAGATATAATAATAATAATTATGATAAGGATTTTTCCAGGACCTCCAAGTAACCAAAAATAAAAATATTTGTTATGGAAAGCTCTTTTCCCCAGATAAACAAAGGCAGCTCTTTCAAAGCAGGGAAGTAATTCCAAAAGGCTTTTAACAGGAGAGTAGTTAGGCAAAAAGAGAGAGGAAAAAGTCTCACCAGGATCATCCACGATGGTTTCTTAACGCCTTAAAGCGACTTTTGATGGTGATCCAGAGAAGCTGATTTTCTTCCTCAATCAAGTATGATCCCACATGAATTGCAAAGCCAATTTCTACCCAGATCCAGCTGCCAAGGTTGACGTTGTCGCAGCTAATCTGGAAGGGGAAGCATCTGAGTGGCTAAAAAATCTGTGCCTGAACTGAGAAATCTCCATCTCTTCTTTCTTAGATTGAGGACCAGGTTTAAGGACCACTCCATAGCCCTCAAAGCAGAACAGCAGATTCACAAAATAAAGCAAGATGGTAGACCTGCACTGGAATATGTACAAGAGTTTTGCAAGATAGCAGGTCAGATTGAAAGGTGGCCTGAGCAATCCCTAGTGCATCACTTCAAGTAGAGGCTCGATGATCACCTTTCCCAGGCCTGCGTCTATCAAGTTGTCCCTGATCAATTGCAAGAGTGGTATCAGGTGGCAGTGAGATTGGGTCGAGCTTGCTCATTACAAGAAACCATCCCTTCCGACTTCCGGTGGCGACGGCCGCGCTGATGGTGGCTTTTTTCAGCCATCTCACGGCTTGGAACCTCTCTCCCCGGGCGAATGGGAGGAGGTGAGCTTTCCTCAGATAGTGGTAGAGCTCCCCAAGACCCCAAAGCTTTTTTTTGGGTGGTCGGAGGGTGAGAGCTCCCACAGAGTCTGAGGTGTCCTCCACATTCCAGGATGCCTTTGCCCTGATTTATCCAGGGCAAAGCTAGATGCTGCTTCCACATCTGCACTTAAAATGAACTTGTGAGTAAAATTTAAAGCAGACAGAGCTGACCAGGAGAGATTAAAATGGTGATTATTTCGAGACTTTAACTCTGGAAAAGAATTTATCTTTTCCTTTTTTTTAAATTAAGAGTGGTGAAAAATGGCACTGAGATGTTGATTCGTTGAGTGAAAGGACCGGAACTTCTATTTGATACAATGTAACAGATTTTGTATTTATATAAAATGCAAGAATTTTCTTTTTTCTTTTAAGGGGGCTTTTGTCTTTTTTCCTCCCCTTTTTTTTGGTATTTGTTGATTTTATAAGATTTTAGCAGACTTTTTAACAAGCGGTCTTAAAAATAAAATGGCTTCAAAGCGTCTCGGAGCTTCTATTGTTTCTAAAGCCTCGATCTTCCCGGTAATGCAGTCAGCCCAGCAAGTTAAATTACCACCACTTTCTCCATCGTTACCAGCATCTATACTTAAAGATTTACAGGATGCCTTGGGAAATAAGGCACGACAGATTAAAGAAGAGATGGAGGAATTTCTTGAAAATAAAATTAGGGAACTGAGAGAGGACATTGCATCTGTGTTTCAAAAGTTTGTTGGTGATATAGATCATCTGGATGATCGTATTGATGATGTTGTGGAAAATTTTGAAAAATTGGAATATCGAATTGATAAAGTAGAAAATAAGGCGGAAATAACACAGGATGAAATTACTATGTTACAATATAGAGACACGGAATTTGCTTTAAGAATAAGGGGAATGAAGGAAAACACGCAAGAGAATTTGAGACAAGTGGTGGTCAAAGATATAGCTTTCATTTTGGGGCTGAGCCTGAAGAAATACTAAGAGAGACGGAAAAAGTTTTTAGGGTTAATTCAAGGGTTGCGAGGCAGAGGAATTTGCCACGATATGTAGTTATTTATTTTTCTAGGAGATCACTTCGTAATGAAATTTTACAGGCTTTTTATAAGCGGAGATTTCAAACTGCAACTCAAGATGTTATAATTTTAAAAGAAATACCTTCAAAAATTCTTAGAAAAAGAAAGGATTTTGTGTTTTTGGCTGATAAGCTCAAAAAATGACAGGTTCGGTTCAGATGGGAGGTACCGGCTGGAATAGTGGTGAATTATGCGGGGATATATCATAGACTTAATACAATTTCAAAGGCGAAAGATTTTTACACTTCTGTTTTGAAGGCGGGCTCGCCATCATCTTTATGACCTGAGATTATAGAAGAAAAGTTGGAAGGGCAGCCGGTTGAAGGTGCTATGTTATTGGATTTAGTATAGGCTGAATCTCTGCAGCAGTCTCTTGAGACAGAAGATTTTTTAAAGAAACCGAGAATGACTCGTGCAGCCTATAGACGTAAAGTAAAAGAACAGTAGAAGGCGGATGTTGGAATAAAGAAAAGGAAATGATGAACTTTTGTAGTAGTTTTTTTTTTTGAGATAGAAGATGTTTTAAAGGAATAGTGAATGATTCATGTAATATGTAGATGTAAAGAAAAAGAACAATAAATGTTAGTTTAGCTGGTAGTTTGATTTAGTATGTTTTAAAGGAATAGTGAATGATTTGTGTAGTATGTAGATGTAAAGAAAAAGAATAATAGAAGGTGTTGATTTAGTGGAAAAGTTTAAATATTTGGGAGTATATATATTATAATATTTTTTATTTTAAAATGTATAAAATAATTATGAGATATTATGGGTAAATGTGTAAAAGAATTTAAATTTTAATGATCTCTGTTGGCGAGAATTTTAGTGATTAAGATGGTTTGTTGAAATTTCTTAAGTAGGAGGCTATTAATAGATTTACTTAGGGGTGGGGAAAAAAAGAAAAAGCAAATAGTCAAGTTTATCGAATGTAAGTTTGTTGGTTGGGTTATATTGGAAGGAAAATTTTGTGTTTATTATAGATGAATGTTTAAAAGAAATATACACCTCAGCGTGAGAAGATGGATAAATTACATGTATAGTAAATATGGGTTATTGATATGGGGTTTAAAAGTATTATTTAGATTATGAATAATTTTTAGTTTTTAATTTGGAATTGTTTATATTGTTGTTTAAATGTTTTGTATTCGAGTTAAAGCACATTATTGATTTTGTTATTTGTATAGTTGGATAAGTTTATTTAGAATTTGTTTGTTTATTTGTAACCCTGTAATCAGCTCTGGGAAGTGAGGAGGGGGGAGGGAGGGGGTTATTTTAGGGGGAGATATTGTTAAAAACCCATTCCTTCCAGAAGCTGGGCCAATACCATAGCAGACCAGGTGGCTGCCTCCACGAAAACTCCCAGCTATCGCGGCTGCGGAAAACCCCAAGCTACCTGCCGGTCCACTAATCAAATGCTTCAGGTGTGGACAACAGGGGCACCGATCGGCGAATTATAGTGTTTGTGTAAACCAGTTTTAATTGTGTCTTCTTTTCCTTAGTTTGCTTCAGCATTTTGTACTCCTTTTTTTGAACTGCATATAACATTGCTTACCCCTAAAATAATACAAAATAACATCACTTTGAGACCATTTTTGAAAATAAACATTAATAAAGAACAGCACCCCTAGTGGAGTCATATAAATTAGGCAATTGTGTGTTTGACACTTAGGATTCTCCTATTATCTACCATGTTTATTTAAAAATATAATTCACCTAATGTTACCCCTTTCCTAAGGCCCCTTCATCAAAAAAAGTTAGTAGCCAAGGCCAAGATAATCTAGGGTCCCAATGCAATGATAACAATATATATCTTTTGTTTTTTCCTTTTAAATGGGAAGTGGAGGTGAGGGCGGGATGACAGAGAAAAGATCTACTCAGCGATGTTTCTCAAACTGGGCAACAGTAAGATGTGGGGACTTCAACTCCCAGAATCCTTCAGCCAGCCATGGGGCTGGGGAATTCTGGGAGCTGAAGTCCACACATCTTAAACAATTTAAAGGAATTAGAAGTCGTTTCCGCTCATGGAAGTCTCCACTTCCCTGGGTTCATCTTTCGTATTCGCCGCCGCACGCCGAACCAGGGACTGGCGCTGTGAGGGCGGGGCAACGGGAGCCTCCGTCGTTTCCTCCTAGCCGCGCGGAGGCCATGGTGCCGGTGCTTCCGCAGCTGTATCTGAGCGGCGCCGATCTTGGCTCGGCAGACGGTTCCGAAAAGCTCGCCGTCACGGCGCTGCTGCAGGTGGACTCGGAGCCGGCCGGGGCCTCTGCGCTTGCGGGCTTTGAGAGCACGCTCTTTGTCCAGGCGCTGGACTGTCCGCAGAGCGATCTGCTGAGTCGCTTGGACGAGTGCGTGGCTTTTCTTAGCCAAGTCCTGGAGGGCGGCGGAAGCGCCCTGGTGCGCTGGTGAGCCCGGCCTAAGGAGACTGCTTGGGAGGTGGGGTGGCTGTGGCCTGGATCTGACCGGCAAAAGCCCAACCGCGTTGTTGTTGTGCTATACTAGCTTTGAGCAACGTTTCGGAGTAGAAATCAGGATAGAGGAATCCTTGATTATAGTGCAGCTGGCCTTCTTGAAGATATAGAAGAAAATTTCTGCCCTCCTTAGGGTATAATCATGTGTCAACCGGATTTAAGGTTTTATGTTTTTAAATACTTAACCGGTCCAAATACGGCGTTCCTCCACGGATTGTTTACTTTACAGCCAATATTTGCTGCAGACAGCCCGCACTTTCCCCGCGTCTTCCGTAGAAAACCTCCCAGACTGTCTTTGTTACGTCACAAAGCCCCGCCCATTCCGTTTGAGTTTGGGAGTTCGCCGAGTTTGAGCTCAATAACAGCCTTCTTTATTCCTTTTACCTAACGCTGTGTAATATCTGGGTTAAAGAGTTTTTGAGATATTTGTAAGCCTAAAACCTAAGCTAAAAGGTTGCCTGGAGGTGTGTGTGTGTGTGTGTGCGTTTAATGCTGCAAATGCACTTGCAGAGAATTGTTGCTGAGTGTGCAAATACTCCCAAAATGTAAACCTTACTTTAAAATTCACTGTAATTGACACCATATCTCATTCTCTGTTAAAAAAAAGAGTCACATGATGGTTTATTGTGATTTGTGAACCCAAATAATAGGATGGTTTTTAAATTGCTGTCATTCTTTTCCTGAATTTTCATTTTGCCTTCTCCCCTGTCAAATCTTAAGAGGAACTGTACATTACATTAGCTTGTGGCAAGGTCTTTTTGTCAGTCACAGTACTGAAAAAATGCTTTAAAAAGTTCTGCCAACACTTTTTAAACTGATTAATATAATTGCTGATCAACAAAATGTATTTGATTGTGGAATGTAGAATATAGTTTTCTTTTCCTAGGTTAGTTCTTTTTTATTATAATCACATACATTGATGACAAATGCTAAGTTATTGCCCTAATTTTCATAGGATTAAATGGTACACTGTTGTTTCAGTTACGTTCTTAAGGGGCTTATTTTTTTCAGAATGTATGAATAAACTATTGTTAGTGTAGAATTGTCATCATCCAACCTTTACAGTAAAGACCAACCTGAAACCTCCTGTCACATAATGTCAAAAATTGCCAGGGTTGAATAGTGGGGGATTTCATGATAATCATGATACATAATAATTGTTTTGCATCCAAGCAGTCTAGTGGGAACTGGGGAAAGATTAGATTCCCTGATTTTGTAGCATTATATTAATGCAGCTGTCAAAAATGAGATGAGGGATGTGTGCTCAGCCTTCTGCTTCCTGATCCTGAGTTAAAAATGCATTATAAAAAGCAGCACTCTAGATGCAAATATAGTTTAAAAGGAATGATATATTTTGTGGTATATATGAGGGAAACAGTACTTCACTTATGTCTTCCTGTTCTTTTTTCCAGTCATGCTGGAGTTAGTCGAAGTGTTGCCATTGTAACTGCCTATTTAATGAAAACTAATCATCTTACTTTTCAAGAGGCCTATGCCTTTGTTCAGACCATCAAACCTGATGCTAAGTATGATTTATTTTTCCTTTGGCAAAAGTGTTTTCTCATGAGGTTTAAAATACACATTCTCTGATCTCTCATTTTTCTTTTTCTTTCTTTTAGGATGAATGAAGGCTTTGAGTGGCAGCTGCAACTCTATGAAAAAATGGGTTGTAAGGTTGATGTTAATAGTATTATTTATAAGCAGTATCGTTTGGAAAACATTGCAGAGAACTGTCTTGGTAAGGCAAATATAAATTACAATGTTTGTGTGTGTGTGTGTGTATGTATGTATGTATAATAGTAAAGTTGGAAGGGCCTTGGAGGTCATCTAGTCCAACCCCCTGCTTAGGCAGGAAACCCTATACCATTTCAGACAAATGGCTGTCCAGTCTTTTCTTGAAAACACTTCCAGTGTTGGAGCATTCACTGCTTCTGGAGGCAGGTTGTTCCACTGGTTAATTGTTCTAACTGTCAGGAAGTTTCTCCTTAGGTCTAGGTTGCTTCTCTCCTTGCTTAGTTTCCACCCGTTGCTTCTTGTCCTGCCTTCAGGTGCTTTGGAAAATAGCTTGACTCCCTCTTCTTTGTGGCAGCCCCTGAGATACTGGAACACTGCTATCATGTCCCCCCTCGTCCTTCTCTTCATTAAACTAGACATACCCAATTCCAGCAGCCGTTCCATATCTCTCTCTCTCTCTCTCTCTCTCTCTCTCTCTCTCTCTCTCTCTCTCTCTCTCTCTCCATACAAACACCCGCGAAAACCTCAGAAAACATATACACACACACACACGAACACACACATATACTCCATTACTTAAATGTTGTGCTATCTACATTAAACTGTACTTTTATTGCTACATTTTGCTTGTTACAACCCTTTTAATATTGGCAGTAAGCAGAACTGTAATAGCCTTTTTCTTCAGTATGTTAATTATATTATAGATAGCTTATCTGATGAAACTTCAATTCTGAAAGGATACTTAACATGGTGTTTACTGCTTCTTTGAAACATCCCAATATCTGTAAGAAAGCTAACAATGTGCAATATTAACAATGTTGTATCTCTCATTTTTTTTTTGCTCCTACCCATCCTAGGAAAAATTAGCCTCTGACAAGTACATTAAAACGAACTATATAAAGGTCACTAATGGCTCTTATATTATTTGTACAGTTTTTTCCCCTCCAGCTTTTTTGCTTTTGATGGCAGAGTCTGCTCAATTCTCAACAGACATTGCTTTTACTGATTAGCTAAACTTGTCACCTGAGTTTAGATACTCAAGGATTTGAAGGCATCCAAAGAGGCAAATCAGTATCTGAGAATTAATACACGTGATGCAAAAAAGCATTTATCTTTGATTGAACTATAAATCATTAGTCATTTTTAAGCCGATTGATAGCATTTTTGTCACTTCTGCTAGTCTGTCTTCTTCAGAAGAAATTCATTCTTGATTTTTCTACCACCATGTTTTTCAACTAACTCTTTCACACACTGAGCTTCAATATTGTGGGGTCTAGTAATAAGCCATCTAGGACAGTCCTGTCCTCTGTACATTCATCCTGTCATCTTGAGCACTCTTACTGCCTTGGGTAAAATTTACCATTTTTTATTCTTGTCCTTGGAGGATCGCATTCTCTTTACATTCTATTTGTTGCACACAGAATGTTTTGGCTCGCCATGTTTAATTTCTGCCATTTAAATACAAAATAAAAATGAAGAAATTTTGATATGGAATGTCTTAGCTTTAGACTTTAATTTGTATCTCTTTGATATGTATGTATAGGTAGTCCTCTACTTATGACCACAACTGAGACTGGAACTTTCATCACTTAGCAAGATAGTCATTAAGTGAGTTGTGTGCATTTTTATGACTTTGCCATGATTGTGTATCATCAGTCATTAAATGAATCACATGGTCATTAAGCGAATTCAGCTTCCCACCTTGACTTTGCTTGTCAGAAGCCCGTTGGGAAGGTCACAAATGGAGATCATATGACCTGCACCCAGGGTCTGCACCTGAATTTTGATCACATGACCATTAGGATATTGTGATGATCACAAGTGCAAAGACTGACTGTAGGTCACTTTTTCCTAGTACTATCATAACTTCAAATGTTTGCTAAGCAAATGGTCTTAGATCGAGGACTACCTTCCCTCTCTCTGTACTCAAATTAGGCATAAATTAAGTAAAACTATGCTTGTCTTCTTTTTATCAAGAGAAATGTGCAGGTTTTATATATATATATGTCAAATATATAATAACTTTTATTATTAGGCTGCATTAAAAACTAGTGAGAGAAAAATAATCTGAAAAAGCAGTTGAATAAAAGGAAAAAATAAAAATACAGACTAGACCATGCTGATATTGAAAATAGTAAAACATTCTTTTATATCCCTTTCCATATTTTATGTTGAACTTGTCATATGTGTTACACAACTTTACAAAAGAACCAAACTAATCCTATTCACTGCATTTTTATCACCTTTTTTCACGAGAAAAGAACTAATGATTAAACATTAACATTTTGAGGATTCTAAACTGGTTGAAACTGAAGAAGAAGAAAAAAGCAAAAGGCAGATTCTTAAATAATTGCCAGGAATTGTTGGTCTTGTCAATGAAATAGTCATTGCCTATGAGACAACGTAAAGCTTATTGTACTGTGGCAAAATATCTTCTCTTTAATTCATCTGTAAAATTTTTAGACAAATGCAAAATGTTTTGTCACCTTTTCTTGAACCTAATATAAGTATTACAGTGTTGCTGCTCCTTTGCATTTTTTACATGGGCAAACATGGCTAATTACATTTTTATGTGATTTTTTTTCTCCCAGCATTCTCATAAAATTGGTATCTGAATATTGAATTGGAAATGTTATGGTTACCCTGGTGGATTTATTTTAATAAAGGCTAAAATCTTACTTGGGAGATTTTAGCCATATTAGTTCTTTTAAAGCCCTATTGGGATAAATTGTTGCAGCTTTAAACCATCCTTTTAAGACGTGTTTTATTGTATACTTCTCTGGGAATATTGCTGTAGAACTACATGTAAATACCTGCAATAAAGAAGTGCTCTAAACTTTCAGAGATGCTTCATTATAAGTATATAAACTCGTTGTTTCTGGTTTTCAGAGACAGAAGGCTTGCCTGGTCATGTCTTTGCAATTGATCCAAACACAGTACATCAAATCCCAAATCATGACATTCTGTACAGGTGCAGGAAATGCAGGTACGTGGTTCCAGAGGAGCATTTATTGAATAGTATCTTATGAGATCAGTTTATAGCAGTTTTCTGAGCTCTAGCACTTTTGCGACCAAGGGGGCTAACTTTAAATGCAGTTAAATTGCTTGGGGATTTAAACAGACTAAATGTTGAATTAATGATAGTCTAGGCCAGTGGTTCTCAACCTGTGGGTCGGGACCCCATTTGGGGTCAATTGACCATTTCACGGGGGTCGCCAAACCACGCTGTCCGCCATTTTTTTCCCTTTTCCCTAGCTGTCCTACTCTTATTGGCCACACCCACTTGGGGGTCACCACAACATGGGGAACTGTATTATGGGGTCACAGCATTAGAAAGGTTGAGAACCACTGGTCTAGGCAAAAGGACTTTTTGAGAAAACTTTACAGCTGATAATAGTTGCATACAAAAATTGGGGTCGGAGTGTATGTTTCAGTGAATCCCTGGTGAACAGCAGTTGACACAGCTCTTCTATGATATAAACATATTTCTGCAAATAGATCTCCCTATAGATATGCAAGTCTGGGGACTGTGAAAGCCATTATTTATTTTCCTCCCCTCCTGCCTTCATTTTAGCCTTCTTTTTTATTGTATTTCATGGTTGATTTAGAGATGTGTTTCAGACTGATGTTTGGTTGAAATAACCAACCTCTTTTCTGCTTCAGTTTCTTCACTGACTGCCGGCCTCTTGCTTCTTGATTAGGTTGATAATTAGTAGAATCCATTTTTTTTTTCACATGTATAATATTTTACCATTAGCTGTGATGCAACCCGAAAGCATAATAGAGCCACCCCGATACTTAAAAGTTGGGTAAAGTGTTCTTCTTCTCCAAAAGAATCTTGTGTAACCAAATAGTTCAGTGTTCGTTTCATTAGTCCAAATCACTGTTTCTAAATGTTACTAAGATTTTCTTCTGCTGACTTTAAATGGTGAATTATCTGATCAGGTTTGTCCAGTTACTCTCTTTCAGCCCAATCCATCTCACAGTTTGTTGTTGTGGGGAGAAAAAGGAGGAGAAGGAAAGCAGTATTAGGTATGTCTGCCCCCACTTGAGCTATTTATAAAAATAATAAAGGTGGGATAAAAATAAATGAATAAATAAAACCATGGTGTACTATGGACAACTACTCCAATATAGACTGTACTTTACAACAGGTGACTTATAGTGGTCCATTGGTTCTGTTTCTTAGATCTGACCAGTTTGGGGCAATCTTAGCAGAGATTTTTGCACAAAGTGGTAATGTTTAAATTTTTATCATGTGGAGTTGTGTCAGTTTTTGTTCACTTACAGATTTATTGAAAACAAATGTCATTTTTGCTTGCAACTGAATGTTCTTATCATACATGGTTCTCTATTGTACATAGTTAGACCCAATAGCTACCAAAAGGGTAGCTGATCTTGCAAAAAAATCCCATTGTTAAAGGGACGTATGTTGAAATGTTGTAGACTGGGTTGGTTAGAATTCAGTCCTAAAATAGTGGTGACTTGGTTATAAAAGACATACAGTAGGTCTTCTCTAATCAGGTCCTGCTTGTTCTCTGTAGTATATCAATGCTGAATGTCATAGTAATTGATGGAAAAGTTGTAGTAGGGGGTACACCTGGGTGGAGATTGAAGCTTATTGCCAGAAATAGGGTTTATTTATTTATTTATTTATGAGACTTATATACCGCTTTAAGTGCAAGCACTCTCTAAGCGGTGTACACCAGTAAGCAATGTATATATATATATTTACATTGCCCCCAACAATCTGGGTCCTCATTTTACCTACCCGGAAGGATGGAAGGCTGAGTCAACCTTGAGCCGGTGAGATTTGAACCGCTGACCTGCTGAACACAGTCAGCTAAAGTGGCCTGCAGTACTGCACTCTAACTGCTGCGCCACCTCGGTTCGGTTGCAATGTATCAAAGACATTTCAAACTAAAAGTAAATCAGTTTTCTATTTTAACTATGGATTATTTGGGATGGTAGTAAGGAATTTGAAGACAAGAGCAAGTTATTGCTGCCTGTGAAGAACTTGGAGAACTTTTATTGTCGGTGGTATTGAATAGTGGATGGATGAGCTGGTAAATGTTTTCTAAAAAGATAATTAAAATCTGAGCAGTATATTAAAAAGAAAATAGGTCCATCCTGATATGGTGGTTTAACAATATGCAAGGGATATAAGGAGATCCAAATCCAGCAATAATATTTTAATCTATATGTTGTGGGCCTGCTCAGTAGGTAATTCTCCATCTGGTGATAATTCAAGTTAACTGGTTACTGAAAATAGTTCCCTCACGGCTGGTAAGCGCTTTATCATTTAGTTTTCTCTAAAGTACATGAGAATTCCATGCCATTTGAAAATGGGGCCATTATGCTTCAGTGAAGAAAATGAGAAAACATTTATTTTGAAATGTAGAACTCTTAGAATGAAACTTTTTTAGATCAGGTTTGCTGTGTTCACTGCGTTGACTTACGACCACAATTACATTGTTAAGTGAGAAATTCATTGTGAATTTTGCTCCATTTTATGTTCTTGCCACAATTAAGTGGATCACTGCAGTTGTTAAGTTAGTAACACGGTTGATAAGTGAATCCGACTTCCCCATTGACTTTGCTTGTCGGAAGGTCACAAAAGGTGATCACGTGATCCTGGGACACTGCAACGGTCATAAATATGAACCAGTTGTCAAGCATTCAAATGTAGATCACATGATCATAGGGATGCTGCAATGGTCATAAGTGTGGAAAATGGTCATAAGTCACTTTTTTCAGTGCCATTGTAACTTCGAACGGTCACTGAAGGAACTGTTGTAAATCGAGAATTATGTGTATATATTTCTTTTCCACTTCATTTGTTCGAATAAGTAAAAAAACAACATTTCAGATGTCAGGTAGCAATGCTGCTTGAGTATCCTTTCAAATTATTTTTGCTCTTTTCCTTTTGATAAACAGGCGTTTGCTGTTCCGAAGTTCAAGCATTTTGCCCCATGATGAAGGCAAAGGACCTGCAGCATTTGCTCACAAAAAAGTTTCAGAGCCTGGATCTTTAGGCCGTGCTGGTCAAACAAACTGTACTTCTTACTTTATTGAGCCAGTGCAGTGGATGGAGGCAGCACTGTTAGGAGTTTTGGAAGGACAGGTGAGGAAAAGAATCTGAGACTTCTATTTTGAAGAAGGTCAGAATAGTTGCTGCTTTGCTAAAAGCTGAACAAAGGCTGTGACCTACTTAAATGTTGTTATATACATTAAATAATTAGAATATGGGGAAAGCATCTGGAGCTTGCATACTAGATGGAGGGAAGTATGCTTAACTCCTCTACCATCTGTCATCCAGGTAAGTTTGCCGAAGGTTGGCCTATGTTAGGAAAAGGAGTCACCTATCCTTCCCTGATACTGTTCATTTTATTTAGCTTTCTGACGAGTTTGACAACAGATGGCATGGGCTACGTTGAAGTGAATCATCCCTAACTCAAATCATGATCCACAATAGAATAGAAGCTGCATTACTAAGGCTCATTCAATCTGTATATAGTAGAGCTTGGACATCATGTAGAGTAACTGATAAATGAGGACTAATTCTATTCAAAGAGAATTATCTACTCACAAGCTGTTTTAAGATATTGTGGTATTGTGAAAAGTGGTTAAAACACCAGATTTTTACCACATTGTGTGTATAGAAGATGCAGCAATACAGCAGATTTCCTCAAGGTAAAATTATTTCCAATTCATTTTATGGCAGTAATTTATAGCATGAAATTAATGGATGGAAAGATTTTGCTTTCTATTTTTGCTGTCCTTTAACTCTAAAATATGAATCCTTCAAAGATATAATTGATATACAGGGCCAGAAATTAGTAGCTATATTATCAGAAATGTCACCAATGATATCTGCTTCCATGGATGCTAATAAAGGAATGACAGATACAAAACAAATTTTGCCTGATGCAGAAATTGTATAATCAGAAATACTGGATGACAAAAAAGGATAGATTATAAAATAGAGAAGGCAATTAAAACGGAAATGTGAGACAATAGGAGAATCCTGACAATGATTTTCTATTGGATACACAAAAGAAGTAGGTTAAAACTTTGAAATGAATGTCAGAAGGGTATTAATAAATTTATTTGGGCGGGCAAAAAAACCAAGAGTTAAGTTTAAGATTATACAAGATGTACGGGAAAGAGGTGGACTTAAGGCGCCTAATCTGAAATTATATTATGATGCGGTGGCTTTAACACTGATTAGTGACTGGCTTAATTTAACAAATAAAAATATACTTTCTCTTGAGGGATGGGATTTACTATATGGATGGCATGCATATTTAATTTATGATAAAAAAGTGGATCAGGTTTTTAAATTCCATATTTTAAGAAGTGCTTTATTGCGTGTCTGGAAGAAGTATTATTATAGGTTAAATTATAAAATACCAATTTGGGGGATTCCTGGACACGCGATAGAGGGGGTATCTAGAGGTGTGAATTTGGATATGATTTCTTATAAGGAATTACTTAGATTGGTAGGGAATGATTGGCATTTAAAATCGTTAGTTGAGTTAAAGCAAGAAAATATTGTACAATCTTGGTTTCAGTATAATCAATTGTTGGTTAGGTGGAAGTTAGATCAAAAGGTTGGTATTACTTTAATGGATGAGAATTTGGGTAAACAGATCAAAGATCACAACCGAGCGCATATAAAGAGAATTTATAATGTTTTAATAGAAATGGATTCGGAAATGGAATTAGTTAAAGATTGTATGGTAAAGTGGGCTCAAAATATTCAAGAACCGATTCCATTGGATACATGGGAGGTAATTTGGGTTAGAAATGTAAAATTTACCCAGGCACAAAATTTAAGAGAAAATTTTTATAAAATGTTTTATAGATGGCATCTGGATCCTAAAAAGTTGTCTTGTATGTATCCTAATTTACAGCCCAAATGTTGGAGATGTGGTAGTTTGGATGCCACTTCTTTTCATATATGGTGGACTTGTAGAAATATAAAAGCTTTTGGATTAAGATTTGGTGGAACATTCAACAGATTTTCAAGAGAAAGATAAAGTTTACCCCACAATTATTGTTATTGGGTGTTATTACAGATTGTGATGCTAAAGAAATTAATTTGATGTTGAATTTGATAACAGCTGCAAGGTTACTAGTAGGGCAATATTGGAAGAAGGATTGCTTGCCTACTATAGAAGAATGGATGCTTAAAGTGTCAAATTTAGCAGAAATGGCTAAGATTTCTGCTTACTTGAAGGATCATTCACAAGAAAGATACACTTTGCTTTGGAGAAGATGGATAAATTATATTCAGAATAAATATGAGACTAAAAAGTTTCATTTAGCCTATGAGTGAATTTTAGAGTATTATTATGATATTATTATTATTTTTAGTATTAGTATTGTTTAACAATTTGGAGATTGTATTGTTTAATAATTAGGATATTAGCTTGTTTATGTTTTCATTATTATGTTTATTTTCAATTTGTTTATATTTATGTTAAAGGTGAGTTAAAGTGCATTATGGACTTGGTTATTTATATAGTTGGTTAATGTTAATTAGATTATGATTATCATATTTGTAACCCTGTACTCAGCTCTGGGAAGTTGGGGAGGGAGAGAGGGTTTTTTTGGGTGGGTTATATTGTAGTTTTTATAAAACTTTTTAATTAAAAAAAAACTTTGAAAATCAAAGTGGAATTACAAATGATAAACCAAGAGAAGGACCCAGATAATGACTTTTTACTGGATTTACAAAAGAGGTTTGCTAAAACTTTTGGAATGGAAAAAAAAAATTGAAGAGAGACCAAATCCTACAACCATTTCTGAATATATTAAAGATCAAGATAGTTAGAAATAAAAGGCATGACTATAAAGTTTGATAAAGGTTAAAATAAGACAAATTTCTATAAAATAAGAAATGTTTCTATAAAATAAGAGACGTGTTTCTGTAGACTTTTTGTTGATACCAGGATTGAAAAGTTGGTGATTTGTAGATTTGTATACAGATAAGTGATAGATTATAGGAGGATATATTTGTTTGTAACCTTAAGGGGGGTGAAGATATATCAAATTTGTTTGTACTTATTGTGATGATTTATATTTTTTCTTTTTTCTTACCAATGTTCTCCCTATTTTTTTTCTTTGTGTTTAGTTTGCATTTGTTTTTACTATTGTAATAAAAACTTTGAATAAGAATTATGAAAAAAAGATAATTGATACAAAATTCAGTCGGTGCTATCATGTAGCTGGGGGAGGGTGGAGGGACCTTTTTCATAATAGAATTTCATAATTCCCTTTACTATGGGTCAGCTGGAAAGAAAATGATTCTTGGTTTTGAAAAATTAACATCTTGATTATTTTAGAGCAACCTGTATAAAGAACAAATATCTAGGCTATTAATATTAAATGAAACAATAGCAGAACAGAAATTCCAGCAACAGAATCATAGATTTGGAAAGGACCATTATATATGATTCCTTGCTCACTGCAAAAGTCCACGTTTCCAACAGATGCTGAGCATACCCAGCAAAATGGGAGCCTGAGTATTAGAGGTTCATAAATCAGAGTGCCATCAGCTTAAAATACTGGTTTTATAGTATGTAGAATCAAATTTGGATCTCTTTCAAATTTGGATAGTTTTCACCATTCAAAAAGCTACCTTGAGAATAATCTGTAAGTGTTTATATTATACAGCATTATCATACACACAAAAACATAAATAAAACCTCCAAAACCACATATATAAATTGCTAATTGCTATTATAGCAGTTGTAAAGAAAAATTGCCATTCTTATATATGCTCTTCAAATATCCTTTTGCTTTAGCATTTTAGCTTTGTGATGTTTTTAGAGATCTTCTGAAAAGACCATGGGTGGCCATCATTTATGATGATTAATTGTACCTAGTCTAAAAACTCCAAAAAAAAAGTATTACTGAACAAAGTTCCACTGACTACTACGTTATGGGTGACAGAGTATTGTAAGCATGTGGAATCTCCCAGTATATATATGGATGGGTTATTCTATGCAGTATTCCTTCATGGAAAATTAACTAGTAAACTATGTTCAATAAAAAGAAAGATACATCAAGAATTTTTATGGAAATGTAGGCCCCCTTTATTATTATATCAGAATGTTGGGTTGTTGTTGTTGTTGTGTGTGTGTGTGTGTGTGTGTGTGTATCAGCTTGATGTTTGGAAGCATATGTTTTGAACAAACAGTTTAGATGGTTGTCTGGTTTGTATTTAATTTTGGATTATCCTAGGGCACCCTTTCCTTCAGTATTTAAACATCAAATCAAAAACATATCCATTTTTCTCAAGGAAACAAATGATGTGGCTTTTGGAAGAAATGAAAAGTCGTATGTCACACGTGAGCCTGGAAAAAAGTGCAGTATTGGTAGAAGATATGAAGCCCGTATAGATTGGGCAACGAATGAGAAACTGAGAGATAGAAAAATTGAACAAAAGGGAATTCTGAGATTTCAAGAGAATGCCAGATGGAGAACACATTTTCTGAAGTTTTTAAAAGAGGCCAGGAAGAGGTGGGCAGTATGAGGGAACAAGATGAATGCTTTCAAGGGAATTGGAATAGGATGTTTTAAATCAGGAACCAAAGCAAACTGTGGAAAGAAGCATACTGGATTGTTTTGTTTTTTTAAATGGTCTTCTAAGGGTCACACATTACAAGAAGGGTTTGTGAAATTGGGCAGTAAAAAATGAGGCCAAGTTTCAATAGTTTGACGTAACTCACAAAAAGTTTCAAAGTTAAGAATTTCACATGTTCCATGCTTGTTTTTTAAAGATGAAAGAGCAAACAGAATATCAACTGTCCCTTCTCTCTGATTCTCTTGTAGCTCCTGTGCCCAAAATGTGCATCAAAGTTGGGTTCTTTTCACTGGCATGGTGAGCAGTGTTCCTGTGGCCATTGGGTGACTCCAGCCTTCCAGATTCACAAGAATCGGGTTGATGAAGTAAAAAGATTGCCTACTGGGGAGCCACAGAATGTGAGAAAGTGAACTTGGTTTGTATTAGGAAAACTGCATATAACTGGCATAGAGAGACACACTTTAATCAATGGTTTAAGAATCAGTGGCCTTGTGCAGTATTTTTCTTTTGACTTTACAATAATAGTAGGCCAAATATACAGCAGAGCTAATTGCACAGCACAACGGAACATTTCTTGAAATAGTTTTAATTTCTTAAACTGAACACTAAAATTTGTGGTCACATCAGGGTATATTTGCACAACATGACTGCTACCAACTAAGATTAGTTGCAAATATGTCTAGAGGCTCTTCCTTCTGAACAACTCTGCATTGTATATGTGAACTGCATTTTCCCAATAAAAATAATTCCAGAAAGTTTGGTGTGCAAGTTTATGACCAGAGAGGGAACAGGCAGGATGTTAAATTACAGAGATGCTCAATTATCAAAAATATAATTGAGGTTTGTTAGAAGATCTCATGTGAGATGTGCTTCTGTAAAGATAATTCTTCTGAAAGTTGGGGAGTTTAGAAGGAGTGGGTTGCTCACCTCAGCTTCTGGGAGATTTGCCACATATATAACCAGCTGCTGAAATACAAATCTTGGCAAGTAGCCTATTGTATGAATGTTTAATCCATTTCCAGCAAGATCTGTTCAGCATGGTTCTCGTTGAGGAATTTTGGAATTACTACAGTTAAAAAATTCAAACTATATTTGCATATTCTTTTTAATTTTGTATAATTTGATTTTTTTTTAAAAAAAAAACTAACATTCTTGTGAAGTAGAATTTGGCAGTCAGAACTTTATTGAACTGCATTCAATGGAGTTAAAGTGGTCAGGGTAGTTCATGGTAGAAAGGTAGCTGAGATTAAAGCTAAAAATTAGAAATCTGAACGCAACATAAACACCAAGGACAGGAAAAAAAAAGAAACTTATAGAAGCAGCAGAAATATCATAAAACAAAGTCCAAAAATCTCACTTTCAGACCTAAGAAAATTAAAAAATGTCTCGGGCAGTTTTTTGAGAAAATGTGGAAGTTACATTTCAAAAAAAAGAGTGTTGTACAACAATGAAAGAGCCTGGTCATTGCTACCCCCCACCTCTTCTTCATAAGCTTAGGTGGAGTAAGCTTGTAGTTGAGCAAGAGCTTTCCAACCTATGGATACTATAGAAAGACTATTTATCTACAGATAGGTTGATTAACAGTGAATCATTGTCACTTATTCACTGTTACTAATAAAAGTCAGAAGAAGTGTTGGGCATACACTGATACACCTTCCTGGCTCCTGAAAATTTAGAAAAAGCTAAGAAATATATGTTAAATTCATAGTTTGCAATGATAACATTATCTTGTCCAATAAATATGTTTGAAACTGCTGGACATTCCATATTCCCAATCAAACATCATGCAACAATATCCTACCATGTTAAGATTTACATTGGTGTGTTGCAGTCCTTTTCTGGATTTTAGTGATTGGTTTATTTTTTATGGCATTCAAAATGTAACTGTACTGTTTTAATCCTATGCTTATTTAAATGCATAGACATATAACTTGGTGTATAGGTTTGTAGATCTTAGTTTTATGAATCCATTTTTATGGCCTTTGTATTTTCTTGTATTGTTTTTACATTTTAGATTTTTAAATCAGCTTATACCATCATAACTTCAAAGTTGCTGACAATTATTACAGTCCTACATTTTAAATTCTAATTAGAGTCATTCATAAAGTTTAAATAGCTTTGTGGATTTTAATATTGAAGTTTTCTTTTTATTGTTTGATATATAGAGAGACACCTGGATGTAATTCATACTATTATAACTGTTGCCACTAAAGATGTTTTTGGCAGTAAGTATTTTATTTAGTTTATTCTAGTAAAGCTCTATCAAATTATACTAGTCTACTATTTCATCATGTTAACTGGGCATATATTTAAATTTAGTGCTGTTAATTTCCACAGCACTAAACACAATAAAAATAGATTTCTCCATAATTTGTATTCTGTCTGGAATTTCCACCTTGTAAATCTCTAGGCCAGATTGCCAATTAATTGCTCTGTATTTTCTCCCATTTCTCTCCAGGTTTGTTTGTTTTTTTGGATGCTCATTTATCCTTCTGATAAAGTATCATTACAATTCAAAAGGTGAAGACTATTTTAAAAATATTGCTCTGACTCCGCATTAGCATACACATACATTGGAGGCAATGCTTTTTCACTTTCTTCATTTCATACCTGACCATAGATTTTCAGTTACCTTTTCTTCTATTAAAGGCTCCTGCCATTGCTGCACCAAAATTTATTAAAAAAAAATAAATAAAACAAAAAGAACACATTTCTCCTCTTCCTTTGAAGATGATGGCCTTAAATGATTTCATAGAGTCTATTTACTGGATATGTGAAAATATTTCAACTTCTGAGCAGTTTGATTCAAAATGATAGTTTTGCCTTCAAAATCAAACACACGTAAGAGACAAGCAAAGGCTCTGAATTGAGATTGGAACACCAAAAATGTATTCTGACTAGCATAAAAATGGCCATTTTGAATGGTATTCTAGCTGTTCAAAGCACTATGATTGGACTGTTGTTTAGTGCCTGGTTTCTATTTACAAACTTTTCAAACAAACCAGTACAGAAGCAGGTCTAGTCAAGGCCAATTTAATTTGTGTGGAGTGATAGCAAAGTATTAAGAAGAGTGGGTTGTTGTTTATGGGTTGTGCTGTGCTTTAGTTTGCAGAGAGGCATATGTGAATGTAGCACTGTGCTTCCCCACAACTCGCAAATGCTATAGAGATTTATGTAAATGCAAAGACAATGTTGGTTTGTTGAGGTTTGGCATGTATGTTGTGTTGATCCAGTACTGGGTTCAGAGTGCTTTCAGAATTACCTAGACTTGAAAACCCATGTTATATATTTGATGGGGAACTTTGATCTTCTTGGGTTCTTTAGCTGATTCAGACCTTTGTTGATTCAAGGTATCTGTGATTGCTTCTCCCGTTGTGAGCTTTCAAGATTGTGTATGGCTGTTCCTTAAGGTCAGCTTTCTTTATCCCCTTTCTTTTTATTCTGTTTATATATAGATGCAATTTACCTTATAATGATTTAAGTGCAGCTCTTGGCTACAGTCAAATAATTTTTTTTGACAAATTTGTAAACAGTAAAAATAACCCATGGTGAAGAATAGCATTTGTATTGGCATGTCATGCTTCCTTTGTTTTTCTTAAGGATTCAATGCATTTGCTGCTGTTAAATGGCTAAGAGTCTATTCATTGATAAGAAGATACTAGTACAAAAATAGTATCTGAGCAGTTCACTCTTTTTTCTTCTCTCTGTATTGGTGAAGTTTCTTTGGGTTCAGCTGAACACTGATTCTCTGCTAAGAATGCCAAGATGTGTTAGGATTCTAGTTCTGACTGTTTCAAATCTACCCTATGGGAGATTTTGTTTTAAAGAAAAAAGCATTAAAATATTTCAAAAAAGATATCTGACTAATTTTTGTCAAGTTTGTTAACTGGTGATATCCTTGAATGTCACCCATTTACTCTTAGAATGAAAAACAAGGGAGAATGGGACTCATACCAAATTATACTATTTTTATGCCTGGGATACCCATATCATTTTGAGCTTCATATTTCAACTAGCCAATTTTAAATACAACATATTTTTCATTTTATGCACAATCTTGTTGCTTGTCATGGTGATTAATGAAAAGACAAGATCTTGGATCCCTAAAACCTTGATTGAAGAACGCATACAGGGGAGGTGGTTGCCATTAAATCTAAAGGTCTATTATATCCAAATTGCTGTCATTTATAAGCAATTATTTCATATGTGTAATTATGCGATTGGCATACTGGTGTTTTGCAGTAAACCATGTTTTAACTGACAAATACTTGATTTAATGGACATTTCTCAATCCATTAAATGGAGGCGAGATCTAAACAAAACAAAAATGTCCATTGAATCCAAAGTCCATTAAACTTGTAGTTCTCAAACTTGGGTGAAGACTGGATTCAAATACCGTAAGTCCTTGGTATAGGAGATTTGTTATCTCACAAAAATAAACTACAGCACATTTTGATCCATAATTGACATCATTCTAAAATTCCTGAGATTTTCAGTCATAGCCATGCTGGTTAGGAATTTCCAAGCATTCAAGTCTTGCCATCTGATTGGAAAGAAGTGAAACTGGCTATTCAACCCCTGATCTCTTCCCACTACTAATATATAGGTTCTTGTAGCCTGCCACAGATCTCATAGGCCCACTATATTTTCTGGGGTAGGAAAGTACACAATTGTTTGCGTTTTCAGTCATTTCACTCAGTTCCAAGGTTCAGGAGCAAAATCAATTGGATCTTGAAGAAATAATTGCCCTAGTTTTTCAAGCAGACCTGACTCATGCATAATGTAGTTTGTTTCCTGGCTCACTACAGTTTGTAAGCTTATGTTAGCTGTCAGTGCAGGAACCTTCAAACCTTGCCTCTTTAGGAACAGTATTAACCATCTGGTGATTGAAAACCACTTGTTCATGAAGTTGTACTACTCAGATAAATAATTTAATATGCTTTTTCCCTTCTAGAAAGAACTAGCCTCTACAGCTTAATACAAAATACTGTTTTACTAACTAATAAAATTATTGTAAGCTTTTTCTGGACAGGTTTCAAAAGATACTAGAATTTCTGTAAACAAATTTGGATGAGGATTATATAGTTCAAAGAATGTAGTAAGTATAATGTCACTTAAGTCAGATGGGCAGTGTACAAATTTATTAAATTATCTGGCTTGGGATTTGCTCTAGCATGTCATCAGAACCCACAAGTGAAAACTTCCACTTTTAAGAGCTTGGCATCAAAGTAAGAGAAACTGATTTTTTTCAAGATTTTGGCAACTTCATCACAGAAGATGCGTATTTTTATTACTGTGATTTAGGCTGACATTAGTAGAATTGTTAATACAATTGGAGGTTAACAGTAGATATGTTCTTGGTTTTATCATCAGTGTTTGGATTTTATCAAGTCCAAATTTATGTCACTAAGAATTGTGAACTTTGGAAGGGTATGGGGCTAGTTAAAAGAATTATTATTTCATATAGAAGGATACATTTGTAAGTGATTTGCAATAAAGGGACTGTTAATATGGGACTGTTGACATTTCTTTACTATTTTTTTTCACTACAAAGGAATAAAAAAGATAATTCAAGCAATGGTGGGGCAAGGAAGAATTTTATTTATAACATACTTTTCCAAGCCCTTTTTCCTCCTTTTTAATGATTGCATTATTATTTTTTATTTTAGTTTAATTTATTTAATTCTTGTTAGTAGCATAATAAAGGTGTCAGCTTTCTGTTCAAAATGGAGCTGGGATACATAATGCTGCCACCAGAGGGGGCAAGATCTCAGGACTTTGGATTCTCTTAAATTCAGGCATTTTCTGTCATGGTAGCAGTTGTCCAGTGTCCAAGACTGAGTGGCTAGAAGGAATTCCCTTCTCTGTGCAACCTAGATATCCTTGTCTTCCTTCCTAAATCAGCCCTGACAAAGTAATCGTTCAATATAAATTGAAGATAGAAGATACAATTTATACTTCTATAAATTGTACTGCATCTCAGTAAACAGTGCACAGAGAGTCTGAATATTTATTTCTTTTGACTTAAGGCTTCAAAAAGTGCTCACTAACAGCTGGCTTCCTTAGGTCTTTCTCACTAATTATCCATTGCCATAGATCCCCTAAGATCTGGGACATTTATAGTTGCTATTATTCTTCCTCTTTTTCAATCTTACAAATAGTACTTATCTTTGAGCCGCAATGAGGGACTAGAAAACTCATTGTTGAGTAGTGTGGTTGTTAAAGTAAAACATCACAAAACCATGATTTGCAATCTCTGCTAGCTTCTCCATTGATTTTGCCTGCGAAGAAGGTTGCAAATGGCACTCGGGTGATTTCAGGACACTGTGACTGTCATAAATGCACAGGGTTGCCAAGTGCCCAAATCACAATCATGTGACTGTGGGGACAGGGCAATGATTGTAGGTCTGAGGACTGGTCGTAGGTCCCTTTTGCAGCGCTGTTGTAACTTTGAATAGTCACTTAAACAAAGAATCACAAGTGAGGAATTACCTGTAATTCCAATAGATACTAAGAGCCAAATATTTTGAAGTTTTTGGGAGAAGTAACCAAGAATGGAAAATCAAAACAGCTATGAAAGTAACCAGTCTTTTTTTTTTTTAATATCCAAGACTGGTGCTGACTGAATAGTGCAAGAAGCAAACAAGCATAGAAAACTTTAAATCCCTTTTTAGCTCAGCCACATCCACATTTGAAAGACCCCCATAGCCACATAATGGTAATTAAAACAAATCCTTTGCTAGCCACATAGTTTTATGCTCCAATGGGTGGTGCTTTCCCAAGGTAATAAAATATATTCTGGGGGAAAATAAATTCACATTCCTATTTATAAGAAAACTGTTAATTTTTTTATGCAAGACAGCATCATCCTTGGAACACTTGTATCAGAATCGTTATTTGAATGTAAAGAATTCTTGATTGTTAAGAATTCTAAAATATGCACTCTTTAAACTTGCACTATTGGTGACTCTTCTAGGGAGATAACAAAATGGATCATTATTGAAACCCAGCTCTGCATAGTTATGCAGGCTGTATCACAAATGTTCTGCTAGTATTAGAATGAACCTCATGATAAGATCACCCTAAGTTGCCCACATTCCAGGGTCTTGCATAGATAGTGAAATCATGTAGGAGGCTTGTATAAAGAGCACTTTATCTTGAGCACTGATACAATAATACAAATTTTTTTGCCAAAGAACACCCAAACTACACATGCGTCAAATGCAATTTATGCGAACTTCTGCTAGAAAAGGTCAGGAACTCAGGGGCAACTCTAGCCAAACCCCAATGCAGAAAAGAAAGCTCCACCCAAACTGAACCAAACAATGAACCAATAACTCCCAGAGAATTTGACCCTACCGGTAAATCCTTGGAGGAAGACAAATGGAGGTATGTCATACACAGAAGGAAACACAACACTCAAAGAAAGAAACAGCATGCAACAAACTCCTGCCCAATCTAACTCAACCAGAAGCAACCCCATTAAAACTGAGCAATCAATTTCTCCCCTTAGAAGAAAACACGCAGATCCATAACCACCCCCTCAAAGAAGACATGCAGACACCTAGCAAAGAAACAACTTCAAATAATCCTTAAAAATCACCTCAGATATCCCTTTAAAAGCCACATCAACAAACACACCTGAGACAAACACAAAAGCACCCCAGATTTCAGCCCCCCCCCAAAAGAAAGTGTTGGTAATAGGAGATTCTATCCTCAAAGGAACAGAATCATCCATCTGCAGACCAAACATACAATCCAGGGAGGAGCAAAAATCAAAGATGTGGCTGACAACCTAACCAAAATAATTAGGCCCATAGATTACTACACCCTTCTCCCCCTCTACATTGGAACAAGCAACACTACAAACAACCTGAATGCAATAGTGAAAGAATACAAACAACTAGGCAATAAAGTTAAGAAGCTAGGAGCACAAGTAGTGCTCCCAACAAAAGGCCAACATCGATTGAGGGAAAAAAGAATTTTAGAAATAAACCAGTGGCTAAAGGGTTGGTGTTGCCAAGAAAACTTTGGTTTCCTGGATCATGGACTGCGTTTTCTACACGAGGGACTCTTGGCAAGGGATAGGCTACATCTCATGAAAACAGGCAAAAATGTACTTGGAAAAAGACTGGCCCAACCCATCAGGAGGGCTTTCAACTAAAACTGAGGGGGGAGGGTGACCAATCTCTAGAATCCCTAGAACCCCAAACCAATCACAAATCCCAAGAAAACAAACAACGAGGTAGTCAGTGTTGAGAAAAAGAAAAACTCAAACAACAATCAGGAGATACAGGAAACATACCCATGGACAGGCATAAAAGCCTTAAATGCTTACACACAAATGCTCAAAGCTTGGGGAACAAACAAGGTGAACTAGAAGCAATAGTACATGAGGGAGGGTATGACA